TTGGCCCACCCAGGGATGCAAAAAACAAAAACCACCAAAAAACTGTTACAGAACAGATACATTGGGCCCAGACTCCAGAGGATGGTATACTAATACTGTCCGGACCCCCTACTGGGCCCGATCGTCAGTGGCCAATTGGAAAGATATCTCTCAATGCCAGAGATTTGTGAAAACAAAATGTTTATTTTAATGCTATTCAGATCTAACGTCTTCATTAAAATATCAAAGTCCTTTAGGGTATACACCTACACACACACACACACACACACACACACACACACACACAGCTCCTGTCTCCCCCTGTCCTAACTCCAGGTACCGTAAATCAGGAAAAGTGCACATGCCCGTTTTTCCTGGCTACTGGTACCGTCAGCTGTGTTGCCGTCCAGGCAGGATCTCCGATTAATCCAAAGTCATGTGGCACCTTCTCATGGTCCACTGGCAAGAGTTCTTTGTACTCATTTTTCCAGTCAAATTCTCTCCTGCTCTCCAGGCCACATGGCCAAAGGGGGCACCCCAAAGCCATGTGGGCCTCTTCTACCAAAGCTGCAGGGGTCCGCACTCCACCAAAAGCATGTGGCTTTCTTCTTCACCTGGCTGCAGGGATCTCCATTCTGGCAAAGCTGTGTGGTTTTCCCTTTCACCTGGGCAAGAGGGGGTCCTAACTCTGCCCCAAACTGCGTGGCTCTAATGGCTGCCGTATCTGGGTCTAAATCCCCTCGCCAATCTTCCTCTGTACCCTTATTTCTGACTCCTCCCACGATCAGTTACACCTGCCAGTATTTCTGTATTATTACAAGTTTACTGGGCTGCCATCATTAGTCTGGGCAGATATAGCCTCATGTCCTAGAGCCAATCTTCTCCAAGCTCCCACGCAGGTGCTGTAACTTGGGGGACCTGCCCCCCAGTTACATCTTGGCGGGGTGGGGGGGAATGACTTCATCCCCCTGGCTCCAAGCCTGGCCACAGCCATTTAACATCTCCAAGTGACCAGCCAAAGGCTATAGATATGTTAAACGACTAGGCCATGGATTAGCTGCAAGGTTGTGGCTGTACAAAAAGTCCTGCATGTTCCTGCTCCATGTGTCCCTTCCCACAACTCACACCTGTGGGAGAAGGGGTGAGGACATCTTATATGTCTCTCCAATATTTCCTAGACACCTTGAGTTCTGGACACCATTCCAAATCTTTTTTTTTTTGCCCACCCCCCTGGCTGTACCCTGTATTAGAATTTTTATAGTTTGTTGATATTTTATTTATGCATTATTGTCCTAATTTCACTTAATTATGCTCCCTTGTAAATCATTGTGCTTTCTTAAGACAATTATTTGAAATGTAATTCAGAGATCTCCATTTCCTTGGGATTCAGTTCTGGAGTTATTTTGTTCCTTTAATTGAGCTATGTTTCTGTCTTTCCACCTGCCTTGTGATTGTTTTGCTTAACCAATCAGCCTAGTTAAGATTCTGGGGCTCCATGAAGCTGTTTGCGGAATGCAATTTCTCTGGGCCCATGTATATTCCTCAATTAGAGAGGTCTGAAGATTTCTTTATAAGGAGCTCATAATCTCTTGCTCCCTGTACAGTCTGTGACACTGCTGGTTCTCCAGTGCGGCAGCAGCAAGGTGCTACTCTCTTGTTCTCAGCAATTTCCTGGCATGCAAAGTGTGCTGGTTCTGTAACCAGAAAAGACACTGCCATTCAGGCTGCCTGTCACTACCAAATCCAATAAGCAATGACAGTGATTAAATCTTTTATGGGCACTTTATTCAGATGGCCGGTGATCTGAGAAGATGGCAAGTTCATACCCTAACAAACCTAGCCAGATCTTTTATAAGGCAGGTGGGGGAGGACAAACAAGTACCATGAGGGCTTTGAGATTCAGAAGCTGCAACATTCTTGTCCCTGGCAGTTAGCTGTTCCCAAGTTGGGGGGTGGTCGTCTGATTCCCTGGAAGACAAAAGGCCTGGATGCCTCCAGTTGTCCCCAGGCAGTACTCTAGCCAGTGCCCCAGGAGGCTGGCTGTTTTCCCAGGAGCCAGGATGGGCCTTATCTGTAGTTTCTGAAACAAAAGCTTTAACATATACATTACTTGCTAGACTTATAACTTTTTACTTTAAGCTAAAATTTTCCAAGTCTTGAGTTCCCTATCAGTTCCCCATCACCAAGTCGGATTGATACAGGGTGCAGCCAGGGGGGCCCCCCAAAAGATTTAGAAGGGTGTCCAGAATTCAAAGTGTATAGAAATATTGGAGAGACATATAAGATGTCCTCACCGCTCCCCGCCCCCCCCCCCAGGGGGAAGGGATGAATGGAGCCAGGCCATTGAGAGCTATTTTGCATAGCAACAGTTTTGGAGCTAACCTCTGGAGGAATGGTTATTTAACATATCTATAACCTTTAACTGGTTTCATAGATATGTTAAATGGCAGTGGCCAAGTTTGAGGCCAGAGAGAAGGAACTAGCAGAGACTCAGGATAAAACTAGGGGCTGCTCTCCTGAGGGAGAAGGGCATGGACTCAGAATGTAACTAGGAGCTGCGCTCCTGAGGAAGGAGTGAGTGGACTGGGACTCAGGAGGATGTAACTAAAGTCTGGACTCCTGAGTGAGAAGGGCTTAGGGACTGAGGATGGAACTTGGGGGACTCAAGATGGAACTAGCAGGGACTGAGGATGGAACTAGGAGGACTCAAGATGGGAACTAGGGGCTGCTCTCCGGAGTGAGAAAGACTGGGACTCAGGAGGATGTAACTAGGGGCTGCGCTCCTGAGTGAGAAGGCCTGTGTGAGAGCTTGGAAAAGACTGGCTCCAGGACATGAAGGGCCCCCGCTTGGCCAGATGAGAGAGAGAGAGCCACCCGGTTTCAGCAGAGTGAGGACCCCCTCTTGGTGAGGTGAAAGAGGGAGCCACGTGGTTTTGGCAGGGTGTGGACCCCCTCTTTCCCAGGTGAAAGGGAAAAACCACGCAGCTTTGCCAGAATGGAGATCCCTGCAGCCAGGTGAAGAAGAAAGCCACATGCTTTTGGTGGAGTGCGGACTCCTGCAGCTTTGGTAGAAGAGGCCCACGAGGCTTTGGGATGCTCTCTTTGGCTGCGGGGCCTGAAAAGCAACAGAGACTTTGACTGGAACTGGGTACAAAGGACTCTTGCCAGTGGACCATGAGAGGGTACCACAGTACTTTGGATTAACTCGAGATCCTGCACAGTGACACAGCTGACGGTGCCAGCGGCCTGCAACACAGACGTGTGCTCTTTTCTTGATTTACGGTACCCGGAGTTGGGACAGTGGGAGAAGGGAGCGCTGTGTGGGTGTAGGTGTATACATAAAGGACTTTGATATTTTAGTGGTGGCATTAGGCCTGAATAGCATTAAATAAACATTTTGTTTCCTTTTCACAAATCTCTGGCTTTAAGAGATGTCTTTCCAATTGGTGGCGGACAGAAGGGCCCAGTAGATTTTAGTATTTTGGTTTTGGGAGGGGCCCCTGTTGTATAGCAGTTTTGGGCATCCCTAGGTGGGCCAAATATTGTATTGCCCCTCCCTCGGACCTCTTGTTGTTCGGTAACAGGATGAGACAGGTATCAGTACCTTGACCAAAGCTCTGTAAAGCTGGAACCCACATTTTATTTTTCTTTCCCTGCTGTTGGAGCTCCAAGTGGGTGCCTTCACCTGACTGTGCAGCGCTGTTCTTACCCACTCCAATGGAGCTGTTTTCTACTCTGTGCTCACCTGTGGTAGCACAACTTTTTAACTGGTTTCTCGACTTCTCGTAAAGGTATTTTGGTCCACGTATTTTTATTAATTTTTAAAATATTTATTGATTTTAGGGTAAGAAACATTTTGTTCCACTAACTTTTGCATTCATTGGTTGCCTTTTGTATGTGCTCTGACTGGGGACTGAATCTGTGACTCTGGCATATCAGGAGGATGCTCTAACCAACCCTACCAGGGTGGGTCCATATACTACCAATAAATTGGTATATCTGAGGGGAACGAGGGCTGGGACTTCCTGTTCCACCATCTGACTGGCGTCACCTCACTTTAATATCTTAACCACAGGAGAAACAGAAACAGGCTATGGAACCTGGAATGATTTATATATTACCAATAAATGATTTATGAAGTACTACAAAGTAGGGTTGTACCTATTAATATTATACTCTATTTTTTGGACTATAAGACACACTCCCCTCACCAAATCTGGGAGAAGGGGGGTGCATCTTAAAGTTTGAATGTACCTTACCTGGCTCACTGTGGGGGGGGGGGTGGCAGTGGACTGGGGTCACAGGAGGCAGGAGTAGGGTTGCCACTGCATTTTCCTCCCAAACTGGGGGGTGGGCAGCACAGAATGTGTCTTATAGTCCAAAAAATATGGTAAGCCCTTGTTTTACAGATGCATAGAGGTAACACAGCCAAATAGCAGATGTTTAAGATCATGTGTAAAAAACTGACTGCTATGCAGTAGGTACTCAAAACTGAAAACTATTTTTGTGTTGAACCCAATGTAATTACAAGAATCCTTATAAGTAAAGAGGGAGAAAGAGGCCATGAGCCAAAGAACACAGCTTCTAGCAGCTGGAAAGGGGTAGGAAACTGATTCTCTGGAGTCTCTGGAGCAGAGACCTACTAACACTTTGAGTACAGTGAGACCTACTTGTGGACTCCTAACTTTCAGAATTATAAGGTAATAAATTTGTATTGTTTTTAAGCCACTAAGTTTGTAGTAATTTGTCACAGCAGAAATAGGAAACTAGTATAGAAGTCTGAGTTAAAAAACTAAAAAGAGCCCTGGCTCGTGTAGCTCAGTGGATTGAGCGCAGGCCTGCGAACCACACGATCGCAGTTCGATTCCTAGTCAGGGCACATGCCTGGGTTGCAGGCCAGTTCCCAGCAGGGGACTCACGAGAGGCAACCATACATTGATATTTCTCTCCTTCTCTCCTTCCCTTCCCCTCTACACATAAATAAATAAAATCTTAAAAAAAAAAAGACACATTTCACAGAATTACTTAGGAAATACTTTATTGTACAAAATTCACATTTGTTGCATATGATGAAAGCCATAGCAACAACCAGCTTTTGCTAATTCATTTTTTTCTGTGAAAAGTAAAGATTATTTTCCGATACAGTAGATAACACTGCTTTTTATATAGTTGTTTAACAGTTTTGAGGACACAAATGTCTTAGGACATAAGGTGTAAAACTAAAAACAGATCAAAAAAGCGCAGGGGGAAGACCACTGCCAAAGAGTAATCTCCAAGAACTTGGCATTTTCCATGGCAAGGCAGATGCTGTGGGGTCATCACACTGTAACTAAAGAACAAAATATTTTAATCATTCATCTTTACAACCAAATCACCTTTTAACATGTAATTATTACAAAACCTTCCCTTCTCTAGTTGGTTTTTGGTTCCTTTTGGTTCTGACACATTTAGCTGGGTTTTACTGTAAGATAAAAAATAATAAATTTCTATGTCTTTATATCAACTTAAATTTCTTTAAGTTTCAAATCATAAAGATATGCCAGAAAGTCTGTGGATAGACTCCATCAAGTAAATTAAAAAGGAATAGGGCATGGGTGGCAAACACACGAGGCCCTCCACTTTGTTTTATCTGGCCTGGCACCTTGTTTCTATTTGGCAGCAGTGCCAAGCTCCTTGCCCCTAGTTAAGGAGTAGTTAGTTATATTTATACAGTCATAAAGTTACACTTGGCCTTTGAATGCAACCATGAGGCTGATGTGGCCCCCGCTGAAAATGAGTTTAACACCCATGGAACAGGGGTTATAAAAAAAAATCAGTGCTGAACAAGTGTATCGATTTGTTCTTAGCAAAAGCATGAATAAAAAAGACAGTTACCAACCTGGCCAGGTGAGTCAGTTGGTGGAAGCATCATTCCATGCACCAAAAGGCTGCATGTTCATTTCCCACTGAGGGCACACACCCAGGTGGCATAACTGATCCCCAGTTGAGGTGCGAATGGGAGTCAATCAATGTTTATCTCTCACATTGATGCTTCTCCTTCTTCTCTCTCTCTCCTCCCTTTTACTCTCTCCCTCCCTCTTTTCTTTAAGATCAATAAATATATTCTAGGGAGGCTTAAAAAAAAAAAAAAAAAAGACACCCCTGGCTGGTGTGGCTCAGTGGATTGAGTGCCAGGCTACAAAGCAAACAAAGCAAAGAGTCACTGATTCCCAGTCAGGGCACATGCCTGGGTTGCAAGCCAGGTGCCCAGAGTGGGGGTGTGTGAGAGACAACCACACACTGATATTTCTGTCCCTTTCTTTCTCCCTCCCTTCCCCTCTCTCTAAAAATAAATAAAATCTTTTTTTAAAAGACAATTACTTACCATATGAAACAATTTTATGGGACTTCTGTTATGCCTGAAGGCTAATAAACTTCTCTAGGTTATGCCTAAAGGCTAATTAATTTCTATTATTTCATAATAGAGAAATATATTAATTATAATGCATACTTAATAGCTACAGTATAGCCACATAGCACAATATCTTTTGTTTCCTTTGAAAAATCCTAATTCCCAAAAAGTACTTGTTTATTCTTATAATAAATGCAACATGAACAATTAATACAATGAAGTACTTAAGATTTTCCTTTTTTGGAAAATTAATTAAACAACTGTAGATAGTAGGTTGGTTAACTGCCCTCTTTTCCTAAGTTGTACTAAACTAAATTTTAAGTAGAGATATGTTTATACTCATGATCTTTTACTTATTTGGTCTACTTATATAGCATATAAAATACAAGTTTATGAATATATAACTAGAGAAATCAGAGGCTTAAGCTATAGGAAAACTTACATGTGGTTTGATTATCTGAAGCCATTCATTAAGATACTCAACAAGACCTAATGCATCTGGGATATTGTCTCCTTCTGAAACAAATTTCAGCAGAACCGCCATTGGGATTTCTTTAGAACAGCTACAACAACAACGACAACAACAAAAGTATTATCCTGATACAAGATTCTGATTCCAGTGTTGTTTTTACAGTTAGGACAATCTTCCAGGTTATAAGCAAGGAGAAGATGCCCCATCATGAGAGCACTTATTCATCTCCCTTGCCCCAGATATTACTCTGTTTATAGAGACAGGACTAGCAGCCATGTAATGCCCACCCGAGACATATGCAAATTTGTGCCTCACACCAATGCTATGTGAAAAATGATCCCTCTCTCCTTGGGTATAGAAAATAAGGTGTGTTCTGATCTACTTCCAAAACCTACTGTAGAAATAGCTATTTTCTGAAGTAACACAGCAAAGGGACTGAAAGGTACACCTTATTCTAAAACAGTGAAGGAAAACCCTTACTACTACTTCTTACATTTACTGAGTGATTATTATGTGCTAAGCAATGACTGCATATTTTATGAGTCAGTCACTATAACAACCATTAAGAAAGTTATAACATGCTCAAACTTCTTCATCTAGGAAGTGGCCAGAGGTGGAACTTGAACCTAGGTCTTTCTGACTCTAAAACATGTCTCCTAACTGTTATACTATAGATGCCTCAAGCTAGTAACAAGACCAATGCAAAAAGTTTCCTGTTTGCCAACAAAAGCAAAAATCATTTCTAACACCCTGAATCCAAGTGCTATGAGAAAAAGTATGCCAAAATTTGAGAGCACATGACTGACAGAGCAATACAGAACTAAAGGTGAGTTGGGCTCCTCATCTGGATTTAAGATGTGGAGGAGACTGACATGTAGGTTCACAAGTCTCAGATGTACAGACAGGGAGAGCCTACCATAGTATTTCAGTCTCTAAATATTATAAAGTGGAAGTTATCACTACTTCTACCATCTCAGTACATAGTTCTAAAATATCTTAGGGACACTCTGGCTTTGTATGGAAGCACTGTGGGCTGTGATGGCTCAGAAGATTCTAGTTCCTACATGCTCATGCTATAATAGCCTGAGAAATAGCTCGTGCCTAGAGAAACCTAGCCACCCTGGCTGTACCTTCATTTTAGCGACTGTGGCTTGAAAAATGTTAGAGCATGGTCTTGAATTTACACTACTACTTTGTAACACAAATAGTAGAGCAACAGTTTTAATACCATCCTCTGTTCCTCTGTGTAAAAAAGGTAGAGAGTGACTAATTTTATCACTTTCTGTGACATTAAAATCTAACACAAGATGTATCCATTATTAAATTACAAATGTACTTCTGTTCCAATTAAATACAAGAGCGGGCAAAAGTAGGTTTAGTTAGTTGCTCGTATGGAAATACAATAATTAATAAATAACAGTATAAGAATAAACTCTGTGCCTCATGTACTCACAACCGTATACCTACCTTTGCCCACCCCTTGTATAAGGGATCTCGGGTCAATCACATCACTGCTACCATTTATTATTAGAATAATATTGTCTTTTCCAGAGATCAGAATATAAAGTTGTTCTGATAATGAGAAGGCAAAATATGTTTATCACAAAATATTTAGCAAATAACCATAATATGCACTGAGGGAGAAAAGAGGATTCAAAATTATATAAGTCACATGATTTCTTTTCAATTTCAAAAATTCTTTATTGCAATGAATGTATAATTGCATTGAACATTAAACACAGGTTTGGTTATAGACAAATAAGAGAAAATGGATTTTGTGAGAAACATCTTCAAATAAGATGAACTGTAAAGTTGTAAATGTTTTACAGTATCTTGCAGATACATATATTCAACTATATTCAACTCAACTATATTTTAAAGAAGTTGGGAGAAATATCAAAAACCTATTACTGGCAGTTATTTCTGGGTGACAGAATTGAGTTTTTAAAATATTGTTTCTTTCAACTATTCCACATTTTTAAATGTTCTATAATGATTATATCTAACTTTTATAATAGTTTTGGTTAATACTGCTAACTTATAATATTTTCTGTTATTGTTGCTAAGTTTATATCTAACCTGAAGTTCCTTGTCTGGCCTCGAGTTTCACCCTATACATGTGATGCTCAGAACTCAGAAAAAAACTAAGATCCCTAACACTCTTCTACATAGCTTCCACCTTTCTGGTTCATTGCCTTGTACCTTCCAGCTGTCTCAGACTTCCACAAGTCTGAAGTCTTACTTCCTCAACTAGCAAGACCACAGTGTTCCACCTGGATTCCCTCTCCCAACCTGTGTGATAGTCCAGAAGGTGTCTCTAAGCAGAAAGCTGGGATACTTTTTGGACTTTGCCTTCTCTCAAGGATCACAATTGTTGTTCTATACCAGAAAATCAAGGGTTTCATTAATTCTGTACAGTGTCCAGTTGTTTATGGCAGGAGGGCAAGTGTGATATTAGTACTCTGACATGGTCAGAATCAAAAGTATGAGACTGATTTGTAAGAATTAAGAAGTCAGTTTGAAAAGGCAGAGTACAGTGGGAGTACAAGGAGGAGGAAATTCCTTTTTTAGAAGTGAAAAATAAATAAGGACACACAGGATGTTGTTTAGACTCTTGGAAACAGGGTAGGTTTTTGCATAGAAGACAAAAGGATAAAAGTAGAAGGAACAAGTAAGAAAGAATGAGCCAGCTTTTAGAAAACTGTGACTGCCAGTAGTTTAGTGGGAGTACAGAGTCTGAGGAGGATAGAGCACCGAGGAATAAACCGTGGGAGATGATCCTAGAGGCCCTTGTAAGGCAATTAAGGATTATGAACCGGATTATGCACAAAGCAAGTAAAATTACTGATGGATTTTACTCAGGGAGTGTTGAGATCATTTTCATACTTTAGAAAATTAACTCTAACAATACTACTTGCTAATGACCCAGAGTAAGTCCGAATGAAGGAGGAAGGGAAATCAATTAGCTTGATAGCAGTTGCTATCAGGGACAGAGGGACTGAATTCCATCCCTCTAAAACTTACTTGAAACCTTTATCTCCATTGTGACCAAATCTGGAGATATGATCTTCAGCAGGTAATTAAGGTTAAATGAGGTTATAAGGGTGGGCTCCTAATCCCCCGGAACTGCAGCCTTATAAGAGGAGGAAGGGAGAGAGCTTCCTCTGCCTTGTGGTGATACAGCCAAAAAGTAGCCATCTGCAAAACAGGAAGATGGCCCTCACCAGAACCCAACCATGCTGGCACCCTGCTCTTGGCCTCTGGACTCTAAAACTGCGAGGAAACAAATTTCTGTTAAGCCTCCCAGCCTATGGTATTTTGGTACGGCCACCCAAGTACACTAATAAGCAGTCTACGCCACAAATAAGGTGGCTTGAATGAAGCAAGACAATGATTCAAAGCTGGTGGTTTGCAGGACAGGTGCAGAGAATAATTAGGTAGTCAGGGCTTCTGAGCCGTTAAGAGAACAGTTGATGATACATGATATGATGTGGTATGATATCAATTATATGGAATAAACTAGGTTGGAAAAGAATTAGAAACACAAATGGACTAGGAAAAAAAAGAAGAAAAGTTGAAGGAAATGATGTTTTTGATAAGAACAGAGTAGTGTTCAAGGAAAATAAAAACCTAAAATGATATGGCCAAAGATAAATAAACCAAGTTGTACTGGGGGAAAAAAAGTTGAAATGCCTATATCATTTCTGACAGAGAAGTCTTAAATATTTTCAGGAAGAAAGCAGAGATACACATCAGTGTAAACCACAAGAAAGAGGTTCAACTTTTAGACAAAGAATAAAGCTTACAGAGTACTGGACAATCATTGCTACAATCTACTGTGAAGTGGTAAAAAGTACAGGATTTGGGGCCAGACACCTGTGTTTGAATCCTGGCTCTGCCACTCACTATCCATATGACTTTTTCATTCCTTTTTTTTCTGTTTATTTTCCCCTTTTATTCTCTCTCCCCATGTACCCTCTCATACAGCTCCCTCCTTTCCCTTAAACCAGTGTGGCAGACAATGTAATAGAGTAGTAAAAGACATGGGCTATGACTGCATAGAGTTAAACCCCACTACTGTCACTATAGGACCTTGGTGGATTTTAGCAGTTATTTAACCTTGCTGTTCTTCAATTATATTATTAATAATATGTGGCTTATACAAGTACACATGTATATGCTTTTATGAGAATTTAAAAAATACATGTAAGATACACAGAGCAAGTACAGGCACACAATTTGCTATTACCTTGACTACCACTGTTACTATTTCCACTATCATGACTTTGTCATACAAAAGTCATATACTGTAGATTCGAGAGCAAGCAAACCAGTAATTTGCAATGCTACGTTTCTACTCCTGTAATTTATTTATGTGAGGAGGCAGATTTATTGGTTGAATTTTGGTCCTTTTTTCCCTAAGGTTAGCTCTGACCAACTCTCTAAAGCCACACTGCTCAGAGCACCAGAGACACATCCACCCCTCATCCATCTCCATGGGAGAGTAGAGAGTAGATTACATGAGCTCAAGAAGCAGCAGAAGCCACTCTTTAAACAGCTTCCCTATCCCTTTTCATAATCACTGGCTCTGTCTTCCATGCACTTATCAGGCATGTCAATTCCCAGCAAGGAGGAAGAGTCAAGGGCAATTAAAGCATACAACAAGGCCTATTAGTCAGCCTAAAACTTAGCCTCAGGTATTGTGAGATGTGAGGCTAAGGGATAAAGCTGGTAAAAATAGAGATAGTGTTAAGTAACTACAAATCTGATGGTAGACTGGAGGTGCACACATAAATCGATTTAAAGAGGGGCTAAAAGAAAAAAGATCTCTTGCTATTTTCTACCTTTTCTTTCACTGTTCTTTGAAATGTTTGTCATTTCTAAACATCAATCAAGAGTGACTGTAGAGGATTTAAAAGACAAATGCATAAAAATAATTACAAACCTATGTTATTGGGCAACAATGTATAAAGATGTAATTTGTGCCCTGGCTGGTGTAGCTCAGTGGATTGAGTGCGTGCCTGCAAACCAGGGGTTCACCAGTTCAATTTCCAGTTGGGGCACATGCCTGGGTTGCAGGCCTGGTTCCCAGTTGTGGGCCTGTGAGAGTGGCCACACACTGATGTTTCTCTACCTCTCTGTCTCCTTCCCTTCCCCTCTCTCTAAAAATAAATGAAATCTTTAAAAAAATAAAAATAAAAAAGATGTAATTTGTGATTAAAATATTATAATGGGTGGGAGAGAAGTGTGTAGAGTAGTAGTATTTGTATGCAATTGAAGTTGTTAGTATCAATTCAAATTAGATATTTGTAACTTTAGGATGTTATATGGAACCATCTTAGTATCCATAAGTATCAATAGAATATACACAAAAGGAAATGGGAAGAGAATCAAAACATGTCAGTACAAAAAACCAGCAAGGCACAGAAGGAGGCAGTGATGGAGGAAATGAAGAACAAAAATGCTTTAAGACATACAGAAAACAAATAGCAAAATGACAGAAGTTCTTATCAGCCCTGGCTGGTGTGGCTCAGTGAACTGAATACTGGCCTTCACAGAGTCATCAGTTCAATTCCCAGTTAGGGCACAGGCCTGGATTGCAGGTCAGGTCCCCAGTTACAGGTGTGCAAGAGGAACCACACATCAATGTTTCTCTCCCTCTCATTCTCCCTCCCTTGCCTTTCTCTAAAAATAAATTAATAATTAAAAAATATTCCTTATCAGTAATCATTTTTAATGCAAATGGGTTAACTTTGGCAGAATGGATAAAAACACATGACCCAAGTACGTGCTGTCTACAAGACATTCACTTAAGATCTAAGGACACAAAATTTGAAAGGGAAAAAGATGGAAAAAGATATTCCATACAAATAGTAACCAAAGAGAACAGGATTGCTACACTAATATCAGACAAAATAGATTTCAAGTCAAAAACTGTTACAAGAGATAAAAATATATACATTGACAAAAGGATCAATTCATCAAGATTAAACAAATGTAATTGAATGACACTAGAAATTAGCAGACCACCACCAGAAAATTCACAAATATGTAGAAATTAAATAACACATTCTCAAACAACCAATGGATGAAAGAATATATCAGAAGGGATTTAGCTTAAGAATTCTATTTGCAGAAAATAAAATCACAAAAGAACGTAGAAAATACTTAGAGATGAATGAAAATAAAAATACACATACTAAACTTAAATATAGCCAAAGCAGTGATAAGAGGGTAATTTGTAGCTGTAAATGCACATATTAAAAAAGAAACTTCTCTAATGAATAACTGAATGAATTCCTCTAATGCATTCCTCAGTTTTCATCTTAGGAACTAGAAAAAGAGAGCAAACTAAATCCAAAGCTAGTAGGAAGAAGAAAATAATAAAGATTAGAGTGGAGATAAATAAAAGAAAGAACAGAAAAACAATAGAGAAAATTCAATAAAACCAAAAGCTAGTTATTTGAAAAGAAAAAAAAAATTGACAAATGTGCCCTGGTTGGTGTGGCTCAGTTGTCTGGAGCATCATCCCATACACCAAAAGGTTGGGGGTTCAGCTCCCAGTCAGGGCACACACTTACATTGCTGTTTCAATCCCAGGTTGGTATGTACAGGAGGCAACCAAGTGATGTTTCTCTCTCCCCTCTCCCTCCCTTGCTCTTTCTCTCAAATTAATAAACATTTAAAAAAAATTAATAAATCTTTAACTAGAATAACTGAGAATAAAAGAGAGAAGGCTCAAGTTACTAAAGTCAGAAAGTGAGAACATTACTGATTTTACAGAAATGGAACAGGAGTTATTACTTAATGAGACAGATTTTCTATTTAGAATAATGACAATGTTCTGAAAGTGTGAATATATTTAATACATGATTGTACACTTAAAAATGGTTAATATATGTATATTTTACCACAAATTTAAAAAAAGGATTATAGAGGTTGCATAGAACAAGCATCACTATCCCTAACATGCCACACATAATACAGCATTAAATATGGCTTCTCAGGAGCCCATTCTCCTATAGCCAAATTCCAATCTTTCCTCTGAATGTAATTTCTATTTTATAAATATATTCTCAAAGTTCCAATAAGTAACCCAACACATCCTCCCAATTATTGTTCTTTCATTTTAAAATAAGGTGGGGAACAAACAAACAAACAGGCTAACAAACTCACCCTTCATCATAGAGTGTTTTTGTGATACCTCCACCAGGTACACGGACACAAAACTCAGAATCACTTATTTCAGGAATGCATGGGCTTTTTTCCATTTCTTCCCAATTAAGGCTCTTTATTTTATTTTGAACACTTTTTTGCATGGAAGGCGTAAGTAGGTATCTGAAAGGTGTACTAGAAACAATTACATAATTAACTTTATAAAAACTCACAGATATAAACATCAAGGCAAAAACCAATTCTTTTTCACAAAAATTATCTTGTTCTTGCCCTGGCTGGTGTAGCTCAGTGGATTGAGCGCAGGCCTGGAACCAGAGAATCGCAGTTTGATGCCCAGTCAGGGTATATTCCTGGATTGCAGGCCAGTTCCCAGCAGGGGACTCATGAGAGGCAACTATACATTGATATTTTTCTCCCTCTCTCCTTCCCTTCCCCTCTAAAGATAAATAAAATCTTTAAAAAAAATTACCTTGTTCTCTATATATTCTACTGTGCAAGGCAAACACAAGTTTTAGCAGTCTATGGAAGAGTAACGTAAAAAACATTGCTCTGACTTGCTACTTACATCTTGGTAGAGACAGTAAAGAAACAGGAAAATTTAAACTAAGGCAAAACCATAATGAAGATGAATCTATTTTCCACAGCTATGTTCCCTTCTAGCCATAAGGCCTACTATGAGATTCTTAGAAATTATTGGCTGATATTTTTCATCATGATTTTAAAGGTGCATAAATGATAATGCAATAAAATAGATTATATTTCTATCTCTTGGATACTTTGTCATATGTTTAAGAATACAGTCTGACATGACTAAGAGCTATACTTAAAGGCAACTGGATTTCTGCAAATCAAAATGGTTGAATATATGGAAATAAACAGAGATATCAATCCAATCTTTCAAAAATCACCAACCAATAAACTAGGTACCCTTTCTTTTCTTTTCATAGCTGAGCTCTGTGATGTTGCCATGCACAATATCAACAATCAAGGAACAGTTCCAAAACCATCTCTATCTTTACACCAAAGCCTTCCTCTTGCCCCAACTATAGAACTAAGATTCTATCTAACTGTGCTCCCTCCTACTTCTTCACTTTCTTTTACCCTCTTCTTTCTAAATTCCAGGGAAAAGCAGTAAGGATATACATGGCTTTTAAAACTTATTTCAACTTTCAGAAATTTATTTTCTTTTTTATTGAATTCATTGGGGTGAAATTGGTTCATAAAACTATACAGGATTCAAGTCATCATCTACATATTATATTGTGTGTTAACTACCCTACGTCAAGTCTCTTTCCATCACCATTTACCCCCCATTCCCTCTTCTACCTGTCCTCAACTCCCTGTCCCCTTTCCCTCTGATAATCACCATACTGTTGTCTGTATCTATTAGGATTTTTTTTCTTAATCCATTCATCTTTTTTTACCCAGCCTTGCAACGCCCCCCTGATATTTTAACTTTTCAATATATAAATCATAATACTGTATAATCATAACAAAAATTTTTTTTCAAAGGCAAAACATACCTGCGGAGCTGTAGATCATTACGATGGTATGAATGACTGCTTGCAAGAACAATAACTTTGGCACAGTTACTACTTTTCACCCAGGAAAGCAGTTTTTCACAGAATGCCTTTGACTTATACTTTGCATACATTGAAAAAAAAAGAAAATCTAAAAGTTAGATCTTAAAGTATATTAGGAGTACTGCATATAATATTTCATCAACTTTATGTGATGACAATTTAAATATACTAAAATTAGAATTATTGTTAGATACACTTACTGTCCTTAAAGTAAAAGTGAAAAATAAAAAGCAATTAATTATATATATGTTTACAATTAAGAAATAAATTGTGAGGAATCTAGATTTTTAAAAAAGTCCTATTTCGACTGACAAATTTCCTGGTATTTTAAGTGATTTATTATGACTAAAAATGACCACATGGTCATTTATGAGATGTTCTTGCCATAAATTTCTGACCTGAATTTGATCATAAGGAAACAATTAGGTAAATCCAGAATGCTTAACATCCAGCTTTCCTTTATCAAAGGAATCAATATTGTGAAGACTATAAAGAGGAAAGCCAGTTCTACACTGAAAGATACCAATTAAAAAGATGTAACACTCATGTGCAACAAGTGAACCTTGAATGGTTCCAGAATTGAAGGATATTTTGAAGACAAGGAAATTTGAGTATGTTGGATGATACTACTGAAAAATTCACTAAATGCTGATTTTCTTAGGTGTGGTAATGGTGTTGTGATTATGAAGAATAATGTCTTTGTTCTTGAAAGATGTGCTAAAGTATTTAGAGGTGACATATGATGTCACTGCCTATTTCTGAATTGTTTAGCAAAAGTAAATTGTGCAGAGAGAGAATCAAACAGGTGTAGCAAGATGTTAACTGCTTGGCTAACATGGAATGTGGGTTATAAAATTATGAGGAGGTCCTGGCTAGTGTGGCTCGGTTGGTTGGAATGTCATCCTGTGTACTGAAAGGCTGTGGGTTTGATTCCTGGTCAGAGCACATACCCAGGTTATGGGTTTGATCCCCAGTGGAGACACATAAAAGAAGGCAATCAATCGATGTTTCCTTCCCAACTCTCTCTCTCTCTCTCTTCCCACCCTCTCTAAAAACAATGAAAAAGGTCCTTTGGTAAGGATAAAAAGAATAATTAAAATTATGAGGGAGAAACTCATTTTATGTAAACCCTTTTCACAAATGATTAATACAATAATTATTCAATAAAATTTAAAATGCAGGTAAAAATGTCTAAATTTTAAAAATAGGAGTGCAGCATAGTGTAATGGTTAAGTGAGGCTGACAGTAGAGTCAGGCTGCCTAGTCTAGAATGCTGGCTTCCCTTCCAACAGACTACATATCTCAAACTGCTTAACCTTTTGATGTTTCAGTTTTCACATTTGAAAAGTGAGGATAATGTTAGTACCTGTCTCATACGATTATTGTAAGGATTAAGTAGAGTGACTACAACAGTATTGGTATGAAGTATCAATGCTCGATAAATGTTTACTGCTTTGAAATCACACTTTATTTCCAATTCCAAAAATTTCATTGAAAAGTAGTTGAATTGTCTATCTTAATTCTTGAACTTACACTGATATTAGTGTGAACTAAAAAGTGAACCAAAAAGCCACGTGACAAATGTAAAAGCATTAGCAACTCTTACTGCAAAATGATATTATTAACTAAACAAAGTAAAGAGTGACTCTAATCTAAATATTAAAATAATCACAACACACCCTGGCTGGTGAGGCTCAGTAGATTGAGTGCCAGCCTGCAAACCAAAGGGCCACTGGTTCAATTCCCAATTGAGGCACATGTCTGGATTGCAGGCCAGGTCCACAGCAGGGGACGAGCAAGAGACAACCATACACGGATGTTTCTCTCCCTTTCTCCCTCCCTTTCCCTCGCTAGAAAAAAATAAATAAAATCTTAAAAAGAAATATAATCATAACACTACTCATGATAGCTTGAAACTGGAAAATATCAAATGCTCCATTAACACTACAATGAATAAATTATAATTTATTTACACAGCAGCATCCTACATAGAAGAACAAACTTTCTCTGTTTGCAACATATATAAGCCTCACAAGTAGAATGCTGAGTAAAGAAAACTAGACATAAAGAAGTACATATACACAAGAGTCCATTCACATAATGATACAATAACTAGGATTGGAAATGGGGGAGAGACTCTGGAAAATTGATAAATTTCTGACCTCCTAAATAAATGGCACCTTAATGCATTCAAAATTTATTGAGAGCTTCTCTATATGCAAAGCACTACTTTAGATACTGGGATATCAGTGAATGACACATCATCACTTCTCTCAAGGAACTTATTTTCTATTAGAAATAGATAATAAACAGAAAATACTTCTAACTTTCCTCAAGATGGAGGTGTAGGTAAACAGGGTAAACATCCTTTCACAACCACAACAAAACTACAACTAAAATATAGGACAGCCATCACTCAGAACCATCAGAAAACTGATCTGTATTGTATTAAAGTCCAACAACTAAAGAATTAAAAAAACCACATTCATCCACACAAACAGGAGAGATGGAGGGATTGAGGGGCGGAGAACTGAAACTGGTGGTTCCAAACCACATGTGGTGGATATAAAATGGAGGGGTACGGCCAAGAGCAAGGGATCCCAGACTCACAGCCCAGGGTTTAGGTGCCAGGATGGAAAGTCCCCATAACTTCTGGATATAAAAACCAGTAAGGGTTTGATCAGCAGAAGAAATTGCAGGATTCTCAGACTTCTCCTCTTAACCTCATACCACAGGTGGACTTACTCAAGACTCATTCCCTCTGGGCTCCAGCAATGAATGGATCAGCAGCTTTAAGGCCACCAGTGGCATACAGGGAGTAACTAAAGTGTTTGGCATCATGGCAGGAGCTGGGGGACAGCTTTCTCCTACAAAGAATTGCAGACAGCAGACAGTGTACCTCTGTTGAGCCCTCCCCTCCACAGAGCCACTGTGCAGCTACACCATATCTGAATCTCCATCAACCTGGCTCACTTGGCAAGGCTTGCCCTGATAATTACCTAAGGGTCTGCCCCATCCCACTTACGGCCCACCCAGGCAACTCTCCTACCCTGGTTACAATAGCTTCTGTATATGAAGGACTGGGCTAGGCACAGGCTTCAGAACTTCCTATATCCCCTCAAACAAGCAACAGCTGAGCCCAGCCCCCATACCTCCTCTCCCTGAGTGGCCCCAGGCCCCCCACTCGCAGCAGCCATCTACAGATCACTTCAGAGCTTATGCCTACTGACAGAACACAGTTGCAGCCTGACCTTGGCCTGCACTACAAGAGGAAACCCCAGAGCCTGTGCACCAAGTGGACAGTTACAGAGCACAAAGGAGCATAACCCAACTGCCTCCAAAAGTCACAGAGGGAGGTGGTTGATGGCCAGGGGTCACAGCCAGTCCTACCAGCTATCTGGACTGGGTAAATCCCTCTAACTGACTTGCTAAGAGCAATCAACACTCATCTAAAAAGGAGGGAATACTTGGCCTACACAGAGGAAGCACCTTGAGTACACAGCTTGGAATATACAGGAAGCTGTGCCACTGGACCCTACAGGACACCTACTAAGGCCATGCTACATTAGGCCATGCTACTAAGACATGGAGTCAAAGCAGCTCTACCTAATACACAGAAACAAACACAGGGAGGCTGCCAAAATGAGGCAAAGAAATATGGCTCAAATGAAATGACAGAACTCCACAAAAAAACCTAAACAAAATGGAGATAAGCAATCTATCGGATTCTGAGTTCACACTGGTTATAAGGATGCTCAAGGGACTCAGTGGATACACTTCAACAGTATAATAAGGACCCAGGTAGAAATGAAGAATACACTAACTGAAATAAAGAACAAGTTACAGGGAGTCAATAGTTGAGTGGATGAAGCCAAGAATCAAATAAATGATTCAGAACATAAGGGACATCCAATCAGTACAGCAAGAAGAAAAAAGAATCCAAAAATATAAGGACAGTGTAAGGAGCCCCTGGGACGATTTCAAACAATCCAATACTCACATCATAAGGATGCCAGAAGGGGAAAAGAAAGAGCAAGAAATTGGAAACTTAGTTGAAAAGAATAAAAAGGAAACTTTCCTAATTTGGTGAAGGAAGTAAGACATAAATATCCAGGAAGTACAGAGAATCTCAGAAAAGATGGATGTAAAAAGGACCACACCAAGACACACCATAATTAAAATGCCAAAGTTTAAAGACAAAGAGACAATCTTAAAGGCAACAATAGAAAAGCAGTTAGTTACGTACAGGGGAGTTCCCATAGGACTGTCAGCCAATTTCTCAAAAGAAATTGCGGACTAGAGGGAATTGGTAAGAAGTATTCAAAGTGCTGAAAAACAAGGACCTACAACCTGGATTACTCTATCCAGCAAAGCCATCATTTAGAATCAGAGGGCAGAGAAAGTAAAGGCAAAAGAGTTCATCATCACCAAACCATTATTATATGCTATTAAAGGGATTTATTTAAGAAAAAGAAATCAAAACTATGAACACTAAAATGGCAGTAAATACATCTATCAACAGTTGAATCTAAAAACCAAGCTAAGTAAACAAGCAGAATTGAAACAGAATGATAGATATGAAGAACGCTGGAATGGTGGCCAGTGGAGCAGGGTGTCTAGAGGAATGGGGAAAAAGGTGAAGGGCTTAAGAAGTACAAATTGGTAGTTATAGAATAGGCAGGGGGATGTAAAGAGCAAGTATAGGAAGTGGAGTTGTCAAAGAACTTTTATGTATGACCCATGGACATGAACAAATGAGAGGGGATCACCAGAGGGAGTAGGGGAGTACTGGGGGAGGGGGGCAAAGGGTGAAACACTGGGACCACTGTAATAGCATAATCAATAAAAACTACTTTAAAAAATTTGCTTTACATTAATCAACCAGTGTTTAAGAAAATTATTCTAAACAACAGTACACACTCTCATGCCTTTTTACAACAGAATGAAAAGAATTTATCATTAGCTCTGTCACTGTGAAGCGTCAACATTTACCATACTAGATAAAAGGCTGATTTTCAGGGCTACTGGATGATAAAAGTGTTTATGCTTCATTAAATAC